AATGCCAAAACATAATTTCATGTACAGGTTTATTGTACGTAAATTGCGCCCTTCTGAGGTTTTGTGAAAGTTAATTTGTGTTTCGCATGGTCCAAGATTGTTTCACAAGCCTGAAAAATACTGTACCAGTTTAATAATGGAGAAGCTATTAGTCAGCTTTATATTTTTTTAATATATAAAAACTATTTTCTGGGAATGTGTTTATTTAAGAGCAACTATTCAAATTAAAAGACATCTAGAAAAAGTACCCTATGTTTTAAATCAGTCCTACCTGCCTTTATAAATGCTAGTTTAGATCCTGACGTTTGAAAAAGGAGGCAGGGAAAGCAGAATAAAGCCTCAGCCTCGCTGCATGCAGTTAGCCAAGCCTTATAGCTAAACCAGGTCCTGGAAATGGACGTTTCTTGCACCATTTCTCTCTCTCGCACTCTGTTTCTTTAACTCCCGCGACTCGTCCTGTCAATCACCCACAAAATGTCTGAGCTGTGGCGGGAGGTGGTGAGCAAATACACTTCCTGTCTCCTCAGGGCACAGCTCTCCTGCGCCCCGAGCGCTCCTATGCTTCTCTATTGCAGAGGAGCTACTGCGCATGTACGACTTTTAACAAGATTCAATGAGCAAAGATTTTTGTGCCCTAGGGCGGAAATATGTCAACAATCCTGCGAAAAATGGAATGATGCTTTGCTAGTAATTAAGGATTAAATATTTATTTTGCACATCTAAAATATATATATTAATATGTTTCGAAATATTTGAAATGTTATTTAAAATTAGATTATTAAAAAAAATGTATGTCTTAATCAGGGTCATTGGGTGGGTGGGGTGGTGCCCTAGCGCCCTATATTGGCTAGCTGCCACTGCTCAGGAGTATGTGTCTTTAAACCATTAACTGTTTTGTTTCGGTGTCCTTTAGTTGAGTTTAAGGACAGGACTTAGAATGATCTACCGTTAGGTTTTTGTCTTCTTTCAAAGAATCAGTTTTTCTATGAGTCAAAGCCAGAAATCAGATTCAGTTCTTGGGGAATTTCCTCTGACCAAAGCTGATCAGCCTCAGGAGTTCTGTTCAACTAATTTGATATTCAGACTCCAAGAGGAAGCGGAGCTGGAGAAGTAAAGATCTTTGGGTGAAGAGGAAGGTCAGCCATGACTGCAGCAGCACTCACCAAGCAGGATTACAGAAAATATTCAGAAAAGCTTAGCTTTAGTGTTGGGATAGCGGAATCTTAATCTCAATGTTGATGTCTTTCCGCGGTCACTTAAATTGGGATGGATGTAAGGAATCCCTTAGATGTTCCCCTCAGCTGCAGCTGCTCCTATTTCTACTTTTCAGGCTCTCAGATTCTGTTTATTTTATATTTTCTCGACAGGCAGGTCCTGGATACGCGGTACGGCTTGAAGAGATGGCAGATTGGAGAGGTCGCATCCAAGATCGGACAACTTTACTACCATTATTAGTAAGTCTGAAAAGTTCTTAGTCCAAACATAAAATGGGAATCTTGTAATTATAGAACCTCTGGAATGGCAAACATCTTGAGTCTATAGCTGTAAATAAATCAGTAATGGAGTTCCACAGGGTTCTGTTGTGTGACCCCTTCATTTTATTAAACCATTAAAGCTCACTAAGATATAGTCTCAATCTCTTAGATCATCTTTATTTAATCCTCAGGGATTTGTTCTCAGTGAAGGAAAGTTTTAACTAATCAGTTGGCTTTATTGTTGCAGTTTTTAAAAGTTCATCGCTTGATTCTTCAGTAATGTTGAGGTCAGCTGCTTGGTTTTAGTTCGGAAACCAGGAGCTTGAGGCCATTCAGAATCTCTCGAAATGGTGCAACCTATTCTCATTATGAGTGCGTATGAAATCGTACGAAAAGTTATGCACCGGAATTTCGTACGTTTTGGACGTTTTTTTTTCGTCGTATGCGCATCTGACGCACCATTCACTAACGTAGTTAGAGACATGAATCAGTGATGATTGCACTGTTTTTCCCAGTTTTCCGTCCGTCCGCGGATCTGCTTTTTTTTTCTGTCTGCCAGCGCATGCGCACTGATGTGGTTTTTTTGAGGAAAAACGTCCAAAACGTACGAAATAGTGTGCATAACTTTTCGTACGATTTCATACGCACTGATAATGAATGATGTTGAACGGTGAAAAATCTCCCCAATCTCTACTCTGGACTCTGCTGACCTCCTTTAACCGTAATGATACAAATTTGATTCCACTTCCTGAATGTCGACGTTTGTTTCTCCTCCTCCATCTTCAGCCTCCGTACCTCAGAAACCAGCTATCTGAACGAAGCGTTTTCCTTCTACTCCGCCATCCGGCAGCGTTCCTACTACTATCAGGTCAACAAGGAGGACAGGTACGATTTGTTTCCTCCATATTTTCTACTTTCAGTTTATGTAAAGTTGGACCTTTTGCTCTGAGCTCCAGCTGTCTTGTTTCCAACAGGCCTGAACTGGTGGTGAAGAAGCTTCGTTATTACGCTCGTTACATCGTAGTGTGTCTACTGCTGAACAAGATGGACCTGGTCAAAGTTCTGGTGAAGGTTAGGAGGGAACATGGTTCTTATCTGGAAGCATTTATTGTTTACTGTAGGATTCCACGTCTGGATATCGATGGTGTTTGGATTTTATTTCGTACTCTGAGGTTTTCATCTTTCCTCCAAACCATTTTTCTAACTTCATCCCCATTCATCTGTGTTTTGTGGTCTGCAGGAGTTATCGGATGAAATCGAAGACTACACCCAGCGCTTCAACACCGAGGACCAACTGGAATGGAACCTGGTTCTGCAGGAAGTGGCGGCTTTTATCGAGGTAATCCAGGACCTCTGGTCTCTGTGTAACACTGTCTGCGGCTTCCGATCGGTTTACTCTCTGTGCTCTGTTGGTGTGGAACAGGCCGATCCGGTGGTGGTTCTGAACGACAACAACTCGGTGTTTGTCACAAGCAACCGGCTGCAGGAGGGCAGCGTTCCTCCGCTAGAGCAGGGGATGGTGGTGGGTCAGCTCGTCCTCGCTGACGCTTTGATCGTCGGAAACTGCAACAACCAGGTTCTGACCCACTTAAGAAGGTTTACTCTGTTAGATCCTCTGTTAAAAACCGTCAGATTCTCTGTTCAACATTTAAATTCAAATAACATTAAATCTGAAGAAAAGGGGAAAAAATGAGACGTTCATTCAGAAAAAATAAAACTAAGTGAATAAAAACAAAACTAGCAGAATAAATTGACAACACTCAAAATACAACTTTCACAAAAACTAAAAAGAAAACATTTTAAGAAATAAAGAGGAAATGAAATAGATATATTGCCGCCCAAACCAAAATAAATATTTTAATAAAGTATAAGAAAGTGAGGAAAAAATAACATTTTGCATTTAAAACAATAAAGAAAAGTTAACTAAAAATTAAAAAGAATAAAAGAAATATGAAAGATAATTAATATATAAAAGAAAAAAAATGAAATTAAATAAAAAATAGAAAAACTATGTAAATATAATAAACTATATGGTATAATTCAAATAAAATCTGGACTTTTTTTTTTTTTTTAGAAATATCGTCACTGGTCTTTTTCCATCTAGACATAAAAATGTGTTCCTATTCATAATGCTGCGTGACGAATTTCACCAACTGGGAATTATTAGTTATTCTGGCAAGGTAACAGAACAGGGCCCGATTCTATAAAGATGATCCAATCTAGTTAACAGATCACTAAACCAACCAATAGGTGCATGGTCACATGACCAGGTGGAGCTGCATTAAGAGGACCAGTCATGATAAAGAAAGAAGTGAATAGTAAAAAGGAATAAACTCAGTTATTAATTAGCTGCTTAATAATTACGCATTTTGTCCTTTATGTTTTCTTTTTTTCATTTATTTGCCGCATTCTTTACTCCTTTAAAGGAAAAGTCGGGTCATCAAGGAATGATCAATGGATCTTTATCTAGACCTAAAACGAATAAGTTTGCTTTGATTTAATAGATTTAGTGTTAATAAGTAAAATAAATAAAAACAATAATTTTTGTTGCGATCATGGAGTCTGGGGGGAGCGGCCATTTTTTCCCGAATATAGTCATTATTTATACCTGAAACTAGTACATCCGTGGTGATTTAATGAATTTAGCATTAATCAGTAAAAAAAATAACGATAATTGTCTGGGAGCGGCCATCTTTGCCCAAATATAGTAGCCCCTCCCTCCTGCCATCTTCCGGCAGTGACGTCATGGTGCGGTAAGCCTAGCGCCATTCTCCCCGCTTTACAAGCTAAATCAATGGGAACTACTAGACACATCTGCAATCAACAACAATTATTGAAGATTTCCAGAGGACTTCACCATTGAAATTCACCAGAGCTATAGTGAAACTGACAATGCCCACGTGCATGGCAGCTGGATGCTGGAATACATCGGGTAAAAGTGGAAAAAAAAGAGTTATTCCACCTTTCTGATTCCTGATCCTCCACGGACGGGTTGGTCGTTGGATCGCCAACTTGAAGAGGGAGGATTTGCCATCGAACTTCTGGCCAGAGAAAAAACCCGTAATATGTAGCCAACATTTGGAAGAAGAATGTTTTCAAGATGACTTGGATAATAGCGCGTTGTGACAAACACCAGATACAGCACTGGGACTTGATCAACAGCCGATACCGCACCGTGACGTCACAAACCAGTAGGTGGCAGTAGTGTTCTTTGACAAACATGGATGCCTCCAGTAAAGCACATTCACATGAAAATTACTCTGAATTAAAAACACTTATCATTTATTTAACAGCGTATAATAATTTAATATTTAAAGTAGTTTCAGAAGTTTGTATTGTTGATCTCCTCCATATTGTGATCCCTTAGGATGGTTTTATGGCTGTTTGTCCTTCAGCCTGAGAATCTGTAGTTATTTTTTACTGAGAGCCGAGTTCCTGATGAAGAAGCTAAAGCTCTATGAGGATCATCTGTCTCTAAACATCCATAGTAGAAATGATTGGATAAACGTTATTTTCCTGAAACGTTTTTCTGCTGCTTCCAGGTGAAGTTCAGCGAGTTGACCATCGACATGTTCCGGATGCTTCAAGCTTTGGAGAGGGAACCAGTGAACCTGGCAACGCAGACCTCCAAACAGGGAACACTGGTGGGTGTCGGCTCTAATCCGTCAGCTTGTTGTAAATGAGCATAACGACAGCAGTAAAGGTTAGGTTGATTAAAATAGTAAAACCTAAATCAGTCCTAATTTAAGGAAGCAATAGTTTTTGCACATTTGAAAAACTCTCAGCTGGTTTACGTCTGGTTCTGGGGACATCAGGTCTGAATGTGTTTCTTCTGCAGGAGCCCAATGAGAAACCGGCGAAGAGAGAAAACCCTCATAAATACCTGCTGTATAAACCGACGTTCAGCCAACTCTACACCTTCCTGTCGGCTTCATTTAAGGTCAGTGTTTATAGCAGCCTGGGGATCCCTCACCGCTTCAGCACTGAGCGAATCTATGGAAGTAAATCTGTGTCGCTGGGATTTGAATAAAAAATGCCACTGAAATTTAAATGTTGTATGTTTGTACTTACTGTTAAAATATATTCAGAACACATTTTTGACCTAAAAAAAAATGTATTGTCATTATTTCTACACAGCTGAAATTTTATTTATTTTCTCTTCAAGCTAAAAATTCACATTACTCTTTCAAACTGATTACATTTTCAATGCTTATTTTTCAGTTTAATTTTTCAGTGTTAAAAAAATTTGCATATAAAAAAATTCAACCTTTCAAAATTCAAACTAAATATTTTCAGCCTCAGAGTTTCAGAGTTTATTACTGTCATTTTTCCGTAGTTGAGTTAGCGTTAGCTAACTTTATTACTTTCATTTTTCCATAGTTGAGTTAGCGTTAGCTAACTTTATTATTTTCATTTTTCCATAGTTGAGTTAGCGTTAGCTAGCGTTAGCTAACTCAACGGTGAGTTTATTACTTTCATTTTTCCATAGTTGAGTTAGCGTTAGCTAGCGTTAGCTAACTCAATGGTGAGTTTATTACTTTTATTTTTCCATAGTTGAGTTAGCGTTAGCTAACTTTATTACTTTCATTTTTTCGTAGTTGAGTTAGCTTTAGCTAACTTTATTACTTTTATTTTTCCGTAGTTGAGTTAGCGTTAGCTAGCGTTAGCTAACTCAACTGTGATTTTATTACTTTCATTTTTCCGTAGTTAAGTTAGCGTTAGCTAACTTTATTACTTTCATATTTCCGCAGTTGAGTTAGCGTTAGCTTGCATGACCGGCTCCATCATGCTGGTTTTCCTTCCTATGAGCGGCACAAGCATCACGTTACGTGACTAAGAAAACGAACGGGATTGGCTGAATGTTGGACAGCACAATCCATTGCTAATGCCTGTGACCTGAAGTAACCCTTCCCTTTTTACTCTGAATTTAGACGCCGATTTTAAGACAGTGAAATAGAGCCAGTTGAATCTCGGGAGACGGAAAATATTGAGTTAGCTAACGCTAACTCAACTGTGAGTTTATTACTTTCATTTTTTCGTAGTTGAGTTAGCGTTAGCTAACTTTATTACTTTAATTTTTCCGTAGTTGAGTTGGCGTTAGCATTAGCTAACTCAATGGTGAGTTTATTATTTTCTTTTTTTCATAGTTGAGTTAGCGTTAGCGTTAGCTAACTCAACGGTGAGTTTATTACTTTCATTTTTCCGTAGTTGAGTTAGCGTTAGCTAACTTTATTACTTTCATTTTTCCGTAGTTGAGTTAGCGTTAGCTTACATGACCGGCTCCGTCATGCTGGTTTTCCTTTCGTATGAGAGCCACGAGCATCTCGTCACGTGACCAAAAAAAAGGTAACGGGATTGGCTGA